CAAACGTATATCTCCTACCAGTGTAATAACGATTATTGATTTTCTGCGTTTGTTATTGTGATTATATGGTGTTTTAGACCTCAAAGACGAGTTCTAAAGAAAATACGCAAGTGCAGAATAATTGTTAAGAAATTAAATTGTTTTCATTTTTCTCGTGTGTACATTTAGGAAAGTGTAGGAAGAATCGTGCAATAGGCCTCAACTATTTAAACCTTTGTTCTTACAACTAAACTGCACTTGCAAGTGTGTCTCCAGTTGACTGTTACGGCTGAACCCCTGGGCATTTCTTTGTTTCGGGTCAGTCCAGAATAGGTCGGGTTGCGCGCTAAAATTGCCGTCTGACCTCCATTGTTTCCGTACAAAGGACATAAACCTCGGATTTGGTTACTGGGAACGAGGGCAGGTGGCCAAGTTTTGCCGGAAATCGGTTGAAGGAAAGCCCTACCTGTTGTCAAGGAAAGCCTGTTTATAAATGATATCTTTTTATATTAACACTTTAATGTTGTTCACTTTCTTTTCATTTAACATTCTCGCCTTCGTGTGTTCTCTGGCACGCACCCCAAAACAGGTGCGTGTATGTAAGAGAGCGAAAGAGAGACTGAGAGGTAGAGAAGGAGAGGGTCTGAGAACAAACACAAGGACACGCACGGCCAAGCGTTTTATTAAATTTGTGAATGTTTGTCTATTTTATTTTTCAGCGATTTTTCATTTCAGAATTAAATAGCTCAGACCTTTAAGTAAAATCCAATAAAACTGTTTGAACGGATTCTTTCTACCTCAGTACATATACATATATATATATATATATATATATATATATATATATATATATATATATGCTTCTTTCTTTCTCCATTCTTATATGAACACATTAACATAGGTCGATAGATAGACCGTCATATCAATAGAATGTTTAAAAATATATAAACTTTTGTGAAAAACATTTTGTATTTTTAGATTTATATCCTACATCCTATCTCCCAATTTTCACACGCAGTGCGAATATATATATATATATATATATATATATATATATATATATATATATATATATATATATATGTGTGTGTGTGTGTGTGTGTGTGTGTGTGTGTAGAAAGAGAGTGGGGAGAGACACGCATGCAGACAGACAGAGGGACAAATAGATAGATATAAAACAACAAAGATATAGAAATCAATGCTGATTGGTGATTGTTACTTAAGAAATAATATACACACACACACACATATATATATATATATATATATATATATATATATATAATTGTCGAACTTTGTCCGTTTCATTATATATATATATATATATATATATATATATATATAATGAAATGGACAAAGTCTGACAATTATTTTAAGATATTTTTTATGTTTATACATTCTTTTTATAGATACAAATATTTAAGTAAATGCTCTGTTTATAATAAACAGTATTAACAATGGATACGCATTAAGCAGATATGAATGAATGAGAGAAAATCATGGAGAATTGTGTTTAAAAACAGTAAACTCGACCTTGCTAACCGAAAAGCTCCTCTGTGGCCCAATCGGTTAAGGCACGTCAAGCTATATGCCGGTTCGGTATAGGATACAGGTTCGATTCCTGTTGAAGGACGCATATTTTCTATGAAAATTTCTCGGACATTCAGGCTGGAAAATGTTGTTAATACTGTTTATTATAAACAGAGTATTTACTTAAATATTTGTATCTATAAAAAGAACGTATAAAATAAAAAATGTCTTTATATATATAAACATATTAAATTAGGCAGCATGTATTTTATATATAAAGAAATAATCATACATAGAATCAATCAGCAATATTAATGCGATTAATGGCGAAATCACTTCGCTAGTAGAAACATAATGTATGCATTAAAATACTGTTAATCCATTGAATGATGTGATCCTCATTTATAAAACTGTTGTCAGATGTCTCGTGTATATTTTTTAAGTTAAGCAAGTACTTTCGAAGATCCATGTCTTCATCATCAGGCTGTAATTTTTTCCTTTAAAGTTAAAACTTGAAGACGAAATAATTGTTTGTAGACGAAAAGATGTTTTCATATATATATATATATATATATATATATATATATATATATCGGGGTCGGGGTGATAAAATAATATATATATATATATATATATATATCGGGGTGGGGGTGATAAAATAAAATAAACAACAAATAGAAAACGAATCTCAATCTCACATGTTTCACTTTTATTAAAGTTTTGTCAGAGATTGTGATCGAATAATATATATTAGTGTATGCGTGTGTGTGAAAAGAAAAGGAAGTCAATTCTACGAGGAAGGCAAAGAAGAAAAGAAAAAGAAGAAGAAGAAAGAAAAACAGAATGCGAGAAAGGAATAAAGGGAGAAAGGGAGAAAGAAATAAAATGTAAGAATGAAAAGAGAAATTTAAGAGAAAGAGCCTGTGTAATACAAAAAGGAAACGATGGAATAGTTGGAAGATAAAAGGAAACAAGAAAAGAGAAGGTGAAAGAAAGAAAGTAAAGGAGCAAAAGGAAGAAAGATAATTCAATGAGAGGGGATAATAAAAGGAAAGGGGAGGAAGTGGACCGCGAGGAAAAAAAAAACAAAAAAACAACGAAAGAAAGATGGAACATGAATAGGTTGAAAATAGTTAAGGTAGAAACACTCTTAGAAAAGTACAAAAAATAGTCAAATATAAAAATTTTAAAAGAATAATACAATAAATATTTCATTGTTTTAAGGTTTTATTTTCAATTTTCAATTTTTTTTCATTCAATTTTATATTAATTCTAATTATTATTCTAATTATTTTTTTCTTCTGAATTGCTCTTGCATGTCAAATATGGTTTTGGGATGAATTAACTTAGCGAAGACATGGCCGAGATTAGTGCGAATAAAAAAGAGCTATCGGAGGAAGGAATGCGTAACTGTGACGTACGGAGGCCAGTAGGCAAATAATCCTACCACATCCCCCCACTACTTTCACTACACTTCAACTTACGCTACCCCACCACACGAAGAAGGACGATTTGCTATTCTATTTCTCTTTTATTCGCATGCGATTTTCCCAGACCTTAACATGAGTTCTTAAATATGTTTCTTTTTTAATCTTTAATTACATTATATTTTAAGCCCCTTTATAATTATTGTTGTTGTTGTTGTTGTGTCATTGTTAATATGGATGTTGTATTAGTGTGTTTGAAATTGTAGTTAACATCATCATCATCATCACCGTTGCCATCATTATTATCAATACTCTTATGTTTTACTTCCTTCAGTATTTATTGTCATTACTTTTACTGGTTATTTTCATCATTTCATTAATACTCTGTTTAATAACATTCTAATGTATTTTATTACTGCACTTTTTATTTTACACTTATGAGTCTTTTCATCTTTTTGCTGCTACAATAAATTGTTTTCGTCCTTTTGAATGTATTTGTGCCTGTATTCTTTTGAGATAAGACTGGGGTCTGTCTTCTCTTCAATGCATCTCGCTAGTTTGGTGTTAATTACCATTGACATGAAGACAACTAAAGGAACCTTATATATATATATATATATATATATATATATATATATATATATATATATATATATGTAGTAAAACCTAGAGAGCCAGACAAACCTACCAAGGTTTCACCTAAGCGGATCGCCAGTGAAATTTTTTTTTAGTTAGTTGATTACTCGTATCGGTTTTTTTTCTTTGGGCTTTGGACCTGTATGCTGTACGATTATTTTCGACAGACGTTCATGTTCCTAGCTCTTTCTTTTTTTAAAACCTTTATTACCTTCAAAAATGATTTGATCATTAGCAAATCAAAAAACAGAAGGTTTTCCCAGACGAGTGTAATTACCTATATATATATATATATATATATATATATATATATATATATATATATATTATATATATATATTTATTTTTTATTTTAAAAAGATTTAAAAAACAAAAAACATGTGGAAATCGTATATATATATTAAAACACATCCACATTACAGCCAAAACCCAATATATATATATATATATATATATATATATATATATATATATAAAGTTTAAAGTTTATATATATATATATATATATATATATATATATATATATATATTATTGGTTTTGGCTGTAATGTGGATGTGTTTTAATATATATATATTATATTTTATTCTTAATATTTCTGCTAAACGTTTTTCCGGTCTCGTATGAATAATGAGATATTAAAACAAACTAAGGAAAACTTATTTCCTTTTATTTGCCTGAAGAAGGCCACCAGATCGGAAACCCGTGTTTCAGAAATATGAAGAATAAAATATGATATATATACTAAAAGAAATCCACCTTATAACCAAAAACGTTTGCGATTTCTCTCTTTTTTAAATATATATATATATATATATATATATATATATATATATATATATATATATATATTTATATATATATTTATATATATATATATATATATATATATATATATATATATATATATATATATATATATATATACCTTTAACTTTAGTGGTGTTTAGTGTCGTTTCACTGTGGTGCAAGAGACAGCAAGCTTGATCATTAGTAGCGAGTTCAATACCCAGGAGATGCCACATAACAACTGGATGGAGGTGTAGCGTGCCGATTATCGGAGTGAAAAGTGGAATTGGTATGTCAAGCTGAAATTCCAGTTGAGGTTGTTTCGCCGGATGGTATGAATTCATCTCTTTGCATTTAATAACATGACAGAATGCTAGCTTTAGTTGGCATGTAGTCCAAAGGGACTACTCTGAATTCAAAACTAGTTGGGAACTGGGCAAGCAGATCCACCCCTTAAAATCCTATTTATTCCTGAAATACTTAGTGTGGTGGGGCTGTAGCCTTTACTCAAACAAGGTAATCTACCAAATTAAGACAACATACCAAAAAAGCACGAACCGGAAATAAATAAAAAAGAGTGCAAGTTAATTATTATCATTATCAAAGGTAAAATGATATTTTGCTTTGACAAGGTCATAATAATGGAGCATTCGGGTGAGAATTGTTCTCATTAAACTTTCTGGTATGCAAGACGAACTAGTTACAGAGAAGGAACCCCGATATATAAAAATTACTGAAGAATTAACTAAATTATTCATCATAAAATTCAGGATGTCGAATTTGTAAATGCTAAACTCTTTAAATTACCTTATCGTATGTATCAGTCATAACAAATTTAATATAAAAAAGGAAACTGAACATAGAATAGGCTGTGTCAAATGTAGTTTTGCCCAACAAAGCAAATTGCTACAAAATCAAAGCATTAAACTGAAAACTTGAGTTATGTTTTTAAATAGTGTTTTCAAATCGAGACTTTCATATGTGTTATGGGAACTTACCCATAGTAATAATGGACTATTCATGACATTATAAATACTGTGCCTCTCAAGAGGTATGAGGAGATTGTAAGACGAGGAAAGATAATTGAGAGCATATTGTAAGGACATTGGAATAGTGATACTTGTCGAGACAACATAGTTCACTCTAACCAAAATCTGATAGTCATTACTAATACTTCTACTTCTTTGTATTATATTTCTGTTGTAATATATCTTTGTATTCCATACCTGTGTTCGTGTTATTCTTTCATTGGTTCTAACCTTGGACCATCACCGTGCTACAAGGAACTTAGACCGTAACAATATGGAAGTCATCCATGGCACGAAACCTATTCAAGAATATCTAAACCGTCCGTTGTATATAACCATTTTCCAAGACCAATGGTTAAAAATGACTTTGAGCGAATAAAGCCTGAAAGTTTTGGCAAAGACCATCCTTCCTTAAACATTATCGACTGGCATTACAGATTCATAAAGAACCGTACCAAATAACAGAAATGGCATCACTTGAAGACAACCAACGGAGAGAAAATAATGACATAATAAAGATGTTGATATTCCACTCTACTTCAAATAAAAGGTTAGGAAGGAAACCCCCACCAATACTGGAAAGAGCGATAACATCTACTGGATTTGAAAAACCTATTTTCGTAAGAGATTTTTTAGTGGCTGCTCGGTCAATGAACGCCAAATGTTTCCTTATAGGGAAACGGCTAATATTACCATTACCATTAGTAAAAGACTTCAAATGATTTAAAATAGCTTTGATCGAATTAAGCCTCAGGGTCTTGATTAAGAACATCCTGCTTTGAACAATGTGACCTGCAGTGGCTATTTTCTATCGGAGACCATAACGAATCTCCTGCAGAAGGTATAGATCGGGCTTCGCGTGCATCTGTAGACTTTCCACACACCACAGTATCTAATAGAGATTCCACCACAAATAACGCAACACTACTGGATACCACCGGAAGGGGCATCATTTTAGATAATGTGACACACCAAAATAGAAAAATAAGACAATGATGTGTTTCTCACCGGATTTGTTTAACCTTTACAGCATTGGTGAGTATTAATAGCATAAGATACAAAAATGATACTGTGTCGATGACGAACAAAGAAAGAAAATTATAGGACTGAAAGAAAGCGAAGTGTCTAACCATCAATAGAAATATTATTGTCAGAAAATCCCAAGATGAAGATAACGTATTTGAGGTGTGTCATATGCCCCGGTCGACGAATGGGTTTATAAGGCGATCATACGCCGACTAGGAGATATATACATTCTCACACCTGTGGAGAGATACAAGCTATCTCTCTCAGATCGTGAGAATGGACAATTGGTAAACAAAAATATTTTTAAGATCACTGTTCGATTGGGATAATCGAACAGTAATCTTTCCCAGGTCCGCTTCTTTTTCAAAACGAATACTGATCCACAATACAAGGATGAACTATAAGGCTGAGCGATTTTTGATACAAGAATTTTAATATGTACAAATATACAAATATCAAAATAAAAGAACAGATAAGTATGAGTTAAAACATCCGACGACCAGATCTCAAAACTTACGATGGGATATCAAAATTCGCCTAACTTCAAATGGATTCAACTGAACCCGAAGATATAAAAATATAAGCATGAATTACTATGAATTGATTGCAGAAGCCAACGCATACACAAAAGAGATGGGATAGGAGTTACAATTATTGTTTTTACATGTGGAAAGGTTTATTCATGGATGTATGTATATCTTTCTACTACGGGTCCAAAATATGATTACTTATCTTTTATATTCAGTTCTCTTTTTTTATCATTGTCCCTTCTTTTCTTTTCTCGACACACACAATTTCACACTCTGTCCGGCTGTAACAGAGGTATACACTTTCTTCCTCTCTTTGTTTCGCCTTTTTCTTTCCTTCCTTTTTCTTCTGTAGACAGTTCGGTTTCCAAACCCGACTCACTGCAACAGGGATGTACACTTTCTTCCTCTCTTTGGTTTTCTTCTTTCTTTCCTTCTTCTTCTTTACACAATTCAGCTTATAACAGAGGTGTACACTTTCTTCTCTGGTTTTCCTTTTTCTTTCTTTACACAATTCAACTTATAACAGAGGTATATGCTTTCTTCTCTGGTTTTCCCTTTTCTTTTCTTTACACAATTCAATTTGTAACAGAGGTATACCCTTTCTTCCTCTCTTTGGATATCCTTTTTCTTTTCTTTACACAATTCAACTTGTAACAGAGATATATGTTTTCTTCTCTGGTTTTCTTTTCACTTTAAACGCAGGCTGAATCCTCAGTGTATAAATTTCTCTGCGTCCTCAATTTCGGGTTCTCGAACAGGAATACTTCTTTTTATATTTCTTGTCTGGAGTTGCCTGGGTTGAACTGGATAAGTTCCATCACTATCAAATGAGTCTTATCTTTCCGCTCATAAACTATCAGCGCTTCGACTTCAGGTCTTGCTTCTTCCAAGTCAAAATAGCAACTGATTCTCGGGTGAATCTCTGACTATCACGTGTCTTAAGTTTTGGCGCGAATTCCAGCTTACATCACTCACCTGTCTAGCTTCGGTCTAGGCATTTGTCGTTACGGGTAATTGGGTCAGTCAACCTTTTGACCTGCCTTCCCAAAATGTCATAAGACTCCCACGTGACCTTTATTCTGTTGCTAGGCGGAAATTAACCTTAATAGATGCGTGTATGCGTGTTTAGGCGATCTGCTTTCGTCACAGGTGTCAGCATCAAGTAAGGAAATTTAAATATCTGTTAAATGTTTTAACAAAGGATTGAAAACGCAACTCCAAAATCCGAACCCGCATTGAATTAAAGAAAGTGCCTTCGAAAAGATAAACAAAGAAGAAACAGGACAATTTCGTTAAAATGAAAGAAAAGAGTACTGAACTCTTATGTAATATCAATCCTTCTGCATGCAAATGAATACTGGACAATCCCTTCAGAGATGAGGAGAAAACGGGTGGCAACAGAAATGTGGATCTACATAATTATGAGAATTCCACAGACGTTAGCAACGAAAAGGTTTATTCTTCATCTGGGAAGGATTTTTTTAGCATGACACAGGCATTTCAACACTCTTTTGTCGTAAAGGAAATATGGAGGACGAGCAATCGTTATAGAAGATTGAATCGACTCGGCTATGAAGGAGTTAGAAGTTGAGATTAACGAAAATATAGCACCAAAATTGTCCAAATCGTGTAACATCAAAATTGTTCAATTCTTAGATTAAGCTTTGAACGGTTGTTTCTTAGAAATGATTAAAGATATATTTCTGGAATTCTCCGAGGTTTTATAACAATACTGGACTCTACTTTGAGCATTAAGAATATATAATTAATCTCTAAACTTAACAGAATAATTGTGATGAAATCGATCATAAACGAAAATGACATGTTCATCATTATTTAATCATAGCTGAGGATCGGAAGTTCAGGAAGTATTGGAATAAAGTTCATATATATATATATATATATATATATATATATATATATATATATAATTTCAGGATCATTTTCCAACTTATTCAAGATGATCTTCCTCTCTCTCTCTCTATATATATATATATCTATATCTATCTATCTCTATATATATATATATATATATATATATATATATTATTCCAAGGTCATTTCGCAACATTCAAAATGATCTTCAAGATGATAAACCTTCCAAACGGGAAAACCTGTAAGAGAAGTAGCATAAGTGTGCAGACATTTCTAGAAACAGAAAAAAATAATTGGAAATTGCATGGATATGTTTGCGCAGAGGACACTCAATGGAGGAAACTGAATCTAAATTAAAGGCGGCTCATGAGATGTAATGAAGTCCCAGGTACGCAAAACACGGAAAAAAAGCTAAATTCAGACTGCAAGCCTATAGGGATGAGGCAGTCAAAAATATAATAAGGACTACCAAATATAGTCAGTATCACGAGAATCAGTGCGAACGACAGGGTGCTGAGAAGGTCAATCAACGGTGTATAGAAACTCAGCGTTTGTCTTAGAGAATAATAGCATAAAATTCGCTCTGATTTTGAAATTAGCATGGATTACCTGGTCTTGGCCAGACAACAAAATCAAGTAATCAAGAAGTAAATTCTTTAGATGAGTGACATTTATCGGAGATTTCACAAAATGAAAGAAATTGAAAAACTGGGAAAATTTAAGATTTTTCGAGATGAATGAATAAAAATGTACATCAGGAAGGTAACGGCAGTACCTATCATGCTTGGAGCACTTGGAACGCATTCGAGTAATTGGAAATCTAAAGCAGAATTGAAAATATTCAAACGACAGTATTATCAAAATCCGTACGAATACTTAAGTGAGTGCCGGAGTACCAAGGATATAAGAAACTGCCTGATCTCTAACAGTCATGGCTCTGATTCTAATACCGCCTGAGTGGACTGTGTTAACCAACCAGAAGGTATTTTTACCTGAGCCCTAAATGCAAGGTTATGGGCAGCTTTTATCAATACCTGTCACCATATCGCGCACAGTTGGCGGGGTTGCATGTGTTTCGATGTCATGATGGGTATATTGGACTTCGTATATTTTTACCACAACGTCCCTTTGTTAGAGTGTTGCCCACTTGCTCAATAATAATAATAATAATTTCTTAGAGAGCTGTTCACTCCTCCCTACCTGTGCGCAAGAGGTGAAATGAATGGATCCTGATAGACGCTGTGGTGCGTGGGGATAAGAACACTGTGAAGGCGGAGTAGTTGAACATACCGAGGTACCAAGACATGGTAGATCAAATAAGGGAAATATAGCAAGAAGCAGCTCAAATTGTCTCTTTACTGGTTGGCAGAATATTTTTCAGAAATCTTTCCATCTCGTAAGACTCTTTGAGGATACTTAACATTATTGGGAGTTCAAAAGTTGTAGCATTTATTAGAACAGCTGATTTGCTAAGGAAGTGCGTATAAACTGGGAGAAGGAGCCGAGATATCACCATTATCAACTGGCTGAAACATCGAAAGGCTGGAGAGGATATTGCATAATAATAATAATAATAATTTATTGGAGAGCGGTTCACTCCTCCTGATACCCTACTTGTGCGTAAGAGATGAAATGAATGGATCCTGATAGACGTTGTGGTGCGTTATCAACCATTATCAATTGGCTGAAACCTCGAAAAGCCAGAGAGGATACCTTATAAGAATAATAATGATAATAATATTGTCATGCCAATTTTTGTTTTGTTATAGTTGTTTTTGTTGTTGTTAATAGTAATTTACTTCATAACATTCCAATTCATTCATATTATTTTAGTATCAATCTTAGATCTACTCTATCTTCTTTTTTAGTGATATCTATATATTAAGAGCCTTGCATTTCTGTATAGTAAGTGTTACGCTTGGTATCACAGGTACTGAGAGGTAAACAGAAATAAACAGGGACATAGAGAGTAAAATCGAACGAAAGAGAGACAGGGATATATATAGAGAGAGAAAAAAGAGAGAGTGTGATCCAGAGAGGCATTGGTGGTGCCATCTTAGAGAGAGGCAGTTGTTTGAGGTGTTAAATCATATTTTGTGACCTAACGAACTGTTGAGGACAAATTCGTCCCTGAACCGCAACTGCAATTAAAATCTTTACTTTAATGATTATAATCATGTTGTAACATAATAAAAATAGATTATTTTCTTCTAATCAAAAATCCTATTAAACCCAGACTGTGTTGAGCGCCCGAGAGGGAAACAGAAAGGGAGAGATTTAGAGAGTAAAACATAAAAAGGGAGAGGGACGTAGAGAAACAAAAAGAGAGCGTGATATAGAGAAGGATTAGAGGTGGGAACATCTTAGATAAAGGATGTTGCTTTTAGTGTGGCGTTGAATCATATTTCGTGACCTAACGATTAGTTGAGGGCACTCTAGTAGTTTTACGAGAGACACTGAGAGGTCACTTTTATCACTGGGAATGGTCATGTTTTTCAAAAGTAAAGAGTTTCGCATTAAAACATTTGTTAGTAATTTATACACTGCTAATGTTTATTATTACAAACGGTACTGAACAGTTCTCGCTGCGACGCAGAAGTCCTTTCAATAATACCCAGGGCTAACATCGTCTTTTGTGATGACTTCTTTTTCTCTTCTGGAATAATTTTCTCCACAGACATAACATTGCAAGCATTTTGCTAACCAATCACCATTTCCATGGTAAATTCTTAGATGAGCACCATTCTTTACTTTCACCAGTTCAGACATTTACATCTGGGACATGCCATGCCTCTTAGATGCAGGGGAATCCTTCTCATTTTGTCTGTGTTCCAAAGGTAAACAGGGAATTCTGCAAGGAAAATGTTCAGCATTCACTTGGGGGAGATAGCAGAAAACTAAAATCATATATAGAATGCAGGCATCCCCTTCTCAGGCCAACGTAATTCCAATAATAATAATAATAATCTGACGTTTGTTCATCTAGTCCGATTTCGGATTAAGATGATAATTTTCCAGAACACCCTTGTTTTAATATTATCTCCATTTTCCAAGCCAATTATTATTTTTTTAATCAACATTTATTGTACTGGCGATCAAGCAATTAAATAATTATCTCCCTTTAACACCGCCAGTGACTGAAATGAGAACGTAAAGAAGTCGGTGGATTGGGTGGGAGGAGGGGGATGCAGTTGTCAAAGGATGAGATTTGCGTGCCTGTGAATGCGCGTGTGCAAATACTGAGCAAGAAGTTCTTTTTTTTTAAATGTCAAATGGAAAATTGCGCACGTGTTGAAACGCTATTGGGAACAGGAACTGCGCATGTGCGTGACTGTTTAAGCATTCTTCGTTATGTTTAGTTATGCAATTATATTTATGAACAGAGAAGAGGAAGCAAAAACACTAGCTGACTAACTAATTATACGAGGGTGTGCAGAAAAGTTATAGATGTTAGCCACTTCCCAAAACCTGACTAAATGCACAAACATAATTTTTTATTAAACAAAAAGGATTTTGTGTAAAACCGATTTTTTTACTTTTAGAAACTTTTCATATATTAATCTTAGGACTAATGTCATCACCTTTACTGTCATCACTATGTTTCGGCCGACATTTTTCCGGTGTCTGTCGACCAGTGTAAAATTCAGGAAATATTTAAATTAAAGCTTTTATTTAATCTATGGGAGAATGACCTAACGGATAAACACATTGATTAGTGAATTTGGTGCCATCGTAATTGCGAGTTCAATCTCTGTGCCGGGTAGTACTGACTTATACTCAGTAGAAACAGGGCGAGCGATAACTGAGCAGTACTAAATAGAAAAAGACGAGGTTTCCCGAGACATAGCTGAATTATGTTTATGCCGGTATGTCTTTTTGGGGTTTTTTTTATTGTTACAAGTACCTCCATAGGCGTAAAAATAATTATAATATGCTCAGGTCCAAGGTATCATTCCTCGTCACTTTCATTGAACTAAAAGTTAAAAGAGTGAGAGAATCTGAAGCATCTCAAATGGGAAGTGACGAGGACTCCGGTGAATTGTCTTTCCTTGTACCATTTATTCGCACTTTAAAGAAAGCCTTGCGCTATTTTTCGTTGGCATGTGGATAAATAATTGCAAGGCCAGAAGTGTGGTGCGTCTATCGAAAGATGAATTTGTTATGATAATTATCAGCTAGACGAGTTCACTAACAACTCCTCGTTGGTTAGAAGACCTAGTTTTCCTATTGTCATATTCCCGTCTTGTTTTCCTTCCACTAGATTTTTGTAGTCTCTCCCTTTAACTCTCTCTACATCTCTTTCAAAGAAAATTGGCCTTCTCTCTATTTTTTCTTATTCCCTTCCTCTCTCTCTTTTCTCTCTCTCTCTCTCTCTCTCGCTTTATCTCTCTCTCAAAAGAAATTGGTCTTATCTCTACTTTTCGTATTATCTTCCGCTCTTCCTTTCTCTGTCTATCACTTTCTTTCTCTCCCTCTCTGTCTAAGAAAATTGATCTTTTCTCTAGTTTTTCTTATCCTCTTCCTTTCTATCTTTCACTGTCTCTCTTTCTCACTCTCTCTCTCTCAAAAATGGACACTCTCTTGTTTTTCGTATTCATCTCTCTCTCTTTCTCTCTCTCCTTCTGTCTCAAAGAAAATTGATATTCTCTTTAGTTTTTCGTGTTCTCTTCCTTTCTTTCTCTTCCTTTCTCTCTCTCACTCACTCTCTCAAAGAAAATTGATCTTTAAAGAGTAGCATCTCACAAAGACGCAGTTCTGACTTTTAAAATATCCACCTAATGAATTCAAAGGAATAGATATTGTATTTTTCGCAATTTCTCTTTTTTGCTCTTCCATTACAACCTTGCTTTCTTTTCTCTCCTCTCATGTCGCCTTTTTTCTTTCTTTAATTCCTGTTCTTATATATTCCCCCTCTCTACATGTTTCCTTTATCTTTTTCCTCTTCTTACTTTTTCGTCAACCTTCACATACCTTCCTTTCGATCCTTCTCTAGGTTTGTTTTATTCTTTCATTTCTCCTGTAATTCCCATCAATAAACTTATAGTATTCTCTGTAAATAAGGTACTACTATAAAAGCAGTACACCACAGCGAATGCCAGTCGAGCACAAGGGCTCAGATTAGCCCCGCACAAAAATTGACCTTGTGTCGCATCCTGCCTCGTGGGGAAGTTGGTAAATACCGAGCTACCATTTGTTGAGAGCAATCAAAAATTCCTATGCACATTCTACCCATGTTAGTTGAAAGAAAATGGTATAACAAAACATATTGGAGAAGGTTACCCAAGGTGGTAGGAGTTGGGCTTCACCAGTTGTTGCAATACGAAACCCCAATGGCGTTTTGAGAATATGCGGCGATTGTAAAGTAGGTGTGAATCATCAGATATGATCTGAATCATTCCCCTTACCAATCCTAGAAACGGCAAGTCATGAATTAGCAGGAATTAAATACTTTGCCAAGAATGTCTTGAAATTGGCATATAACCAAATAGAAATTGACGAAAAATTTAAAGAAGTCACTACAATTAATACCCCGATAGGTTTACTAAGATGAAGTTAAGACTTCAAACCATATTTTTGAAAAGGCAATTGAAAAAGTTCTATTGGAAAGGGTAAAAATATAATCATATATCAAGACAACATAGGCATAGGTGCTTTCAGTAAAGAAGAATTTAAAAAAAAACTGAACAAATTTTAAAAAACTAAAAATGCTGTTATGAGGATAAACAGTGATAGATATAAGTTAAATTGCGACATATCGTATTTGAGATAACAAATATCGAAAGAAGGAATTTTACTAGACAATAAACTGATAAATAAAATATCGGAAGTATCTACATCAAAAAAGAAAAAAAGAAAATTCTTTTGGGGATTAACCAATTTTTAGAGCAAATATCTACCGAGATACAGCGCTCTAATAGGACCATTTGCAGAATTACGGAAAAAGAATACAGAAAGAATTTAAGTGAACTCAAAGGCAAAATATAACTTTTGAAACCTTAAAAAAAGGCCCTAAAAAGAAAACCGATTGCAAAAATCTTTAACCCCCAAAAAGAAGTGATATTGACGATGGATGTAAGTGAGCATGCTGTAGCCGCAATTTTATCTCGAGAAAGTCATCCAATAATATACCTGTCGAGAAAATTAACGTCAGCTGAAGCTAACTACTCAAATATTGAGAAGAAAGCGTTAGCAATAGGGCGCACAGAATGAGCTCGACATTTTTTTAAGACGAAAATTTTTGTTTATAATCATATCTCCAACTTTTTAGTGTTTAATTTAACCCCAAAAGGAATTACCAGAAATATTTTCTAGAATTTTAAGATGGGCTAAAAACTTATGATCCAGTGTTAAGTAGAATTTCAAAAGAATAAAAGAATCACATGGAACAATTGTTCAATGGCAAAAGAACATAAAAATCAAGACATGTGTAGATTACTAATATTAATAAAAAAAAAAAGATTAATATGATTCTACAAAATAAAAGAAATTTTAACCTTTTATTTTACAACATAAGAACATGTGGACAAATCTGAAAACAAAATTAATCGTTCGTGTTTTGTTTTTCTTTAAAGTCTCTGCGAGTTGTAGAGAAATATCTGCAGTAGCGTGGTGTTAAAAGTGAGCATGCTGTAGCCGCAATTTTATCTCGAGAAAGTCATCCAATAATATACCTGTCGAGAAAATTAACGTCAGCTGAAGCTAACTACTCAAATATTGAGAAGAAAGCGTTAGCAATAGTATGGCGCACAGAATGAGCTCGACATTTTTTTTAAGACGAAAATTTTTGTTTATAATCATATCTCCAACTTTTAGTGTTTATATTTAACCCCAGAAAGGAATTACCAGAAGTCATATTTTCTAGAATTTTAAGATGGGCTATAAAACTTATGGACTTTGATTTCAACATCATATGCGTAAAGGGGAACACTATTCCACACGTGGATTCGCTATCAAGACTAAATTTCGAAAGTAAAAATTCGAAACGTCTGAAAATTCAGAAGACAAAATAATACACTGGGTTGAAACGGACGTGTTACCCCTAAATCGTGTCAGAATGGAAACCATACAAGATCCAGTGTTAAGTAGAATTTCAAACAGAATAAAAAGAATCACATGGAACAATTGTTCAATGGCAGAAAGAACCGACAAAGAATCAAGACATGTGTAGATTACTAATATTAATAAAAAAAAAGATTAATATGAGTTCTACAAAATAAAGAAATTTTTATTACCTTTTATTTTACAACATAAGAACATGTGGACAAATCTGAAAACAAAAATTAATCGTTCGTGTTTTGTTTTTCTTTAAAGTCTCTGCGAGTTGTAGAGAAATATCTGCAGTAGCGTGGTGTTAAAAGTATTATCGCTGAGTCTTAATTTTGATACTGTTCGTTCAGCGGTCAAGGGAGAAGGCTGCAGTGAGACACAGTTGTATTCATCTTGCCAAGCAAGTGAACTGTTCTAAAGTGGTTTGAAAATATTCTCATTTTTAAATATTCTGATGGGATTGTTATGGGATCACGCATGTTAGTGTTAGCTCCACAAATTTCTTACGAAGCGACAGCTTTTTTATTTTTTTTTTATTTTATTTTTTTTTTTTGTACATCTGATTGGTTAAAATATGTCGCCGAGCGCGTTATTTTTTTTTTATAAAAAGTGCGTTGGTGTCTTTTATAGATTAAGAATTGCATCAAAGTTAATTTTTCTCGAACTTTCCTTGATGGAAAAATTGCATCATTTCTTGCATGTATTAAGTGTAGAGGAAGGCATAATATGCAATGGAGATATTATAATAACCCCGTAAAGTTTAATAAATACTAAAAGGTGTAAATGATGATGGCCAGGATATTTTCGAGATGTAGGGGATTATGCAAAAAGGTTCCTAAAATGTGCTGAAATAAAAAAAAAAAAACTTTCGGCAAAACTAAATTTAATTTACTAGTGGCCTAAAGAAAAGGAACCATGGACTTGTGTACACAGGGATTATGCCCATATTAAAGGCATGGGGCTATTTTTAATTTTAGCGGACTCATTTTCAAGATAGCACGAAGTAATTAAGTTTGCTGACAGAAAAGCTGCCACTGTAAAACAAATATTAAGAACAATATTTTCTAGGAATGGGGTACCTAAAACTTTGGTCTTAGAGAATTTTGAGAAGAATGTTTGTGCTTGAGGCTAGAGCGTATTGGATGCGTCCTGTATACGACACAACATTATCACACACAATCGAATGGAATCAGAAAAAAATGTTCAGACTATGAAAATGGGACTAAAAAATTTTTCCTCATCTAATGATAATATAGAGAGTTACTTACGAAGATTACTATTAAGCTATAGAACAATTCCACATGCTGGCAGACTATAAAGTCCCTCTGCATTCATAGGTAGACAGATTAGAGCTCCCATAACAATGTCATTTTCAACAAGTGAAAGTGTATGGTATAAAAAAGACAAAGAATCTAATTCAGAAGAGGTGAACTTTGTACTACAGAAAAGACACAACACAGCAATACTAACGAAAAATGGATCTATTCAGAAATAGAATGGAACTCGAGAATATAGAAATGAACGAAGAATCAGAAGATGAATGACATGAAGAGAAGTAAGGGAACCTAATGATTCCAGGAATGAAACTGAATAATCAATGGTTGTTAATGACCAGAAATCTGACGAGAATTCGGAAGAGAAAAATGAATTCTATATAGAAAGAAATCAAGATACACACCAAGAAAGACAGTTTTGATTCTCAAAAATAATTAGAAGTCAAAGATCAGCGAAAGGCATAAGGCCATTTTGGTTCAGGGAAGTTTAGTATTGTATGTAAATGTGGTACTGCTATCAAGGCAGTATGCCACATCGAATGCCAGTCGAGCTACCATCTGTGGACCTGACAACGTCTATTCCAGAGAGTACTCTTCTTCATAATAAAATTATATTCTTTCTTCCACGTTTTCATATCGTTCTCCTCCCTATTCAGTTTTCTTTTGTTTTCTTTCAATAATCTGTTTATTGTCGAAACCGATTTTTAGCAGTCCCTCAGAAACCTGAAGTTGATCAAAGAGGGTCAGGACTAGATTGATCTAAAAAAACACCTCTTACATTCGGCAGCATGATATGAATAAAGGAAAACATAACACATCTCGATTAACGGGGCTCATATAGGAACTCGTATAACGACGTCCAGTAGAGAATTCGAATAATATTTTTACGAAAAACAGTTTCACAGGGGCCCTTCTTCAATGTCTTTTGAGTGTCATCAGCTTTGGTGCGAGTTGGAAGAACGCCGTAAGCAACCCGAATTGAAGTAAGGAAATGTTATACGTTGTTTCCTCTTTTCTATCTTTTCTTTTCTTTTTCTTTATTTCTTTATTTCTTTCGTTCTTTTTCTTTTTTCTTTTGTTTTTCTTTCTTGCTTTCTTTTTTCTTTTTTTTCTTTTTTTTTTTCTTTTCCTTTCTTTATTTTCTTTTTTTCTTTTTATTTCTTTCTTTATTTCTTTCTATTTGGCTTTCTTTTCCCTATTTCTTTTTCTTTTTCTTTCTTTTCTTTTTCTTTCTTGCTTTATTTTCTTTTTCTTTCTTTTTCTTTTCCTTACTTTCTTCCGTTTTTCTTTCTTTTTCTTTCTTTCTTTTCTTTGTCTTTCTTGCTTTCTTTTTTTCCTTTCTTTCTTTCTTTCTTTCTTTCTCTTTCTTCCTTTTCTGTTCCTTTCTTTCTTTCCTTCTTTCCTTCCTTCTTTCTTTTCTTTTTCCCTCTTTCTTTCTTTCTTTGGTTTATTTTTCTTTCTTTCTTTCTATTTCATTTCTTTCTTGATTTCTTTTTATTTCTCTCTTTTCTTTTCTTTTTCTGTCTTTCTTTCTTTCTATCTTTTCTTTTTCTATATTTCTTTGTTTTCTTTTTCTTGCTTGCTTTACTTTCTTCTTTCTTTTTTCTTTTCCTTTCTTTCTTTCTTTTTCTCTCTTTTTTCTTTTCTTTTTCCTTCTTTCTTTCTTTCTTTCTTTGTTCATTATGAAAATAATCGAGGGCTGCTATTAACCATAGAACAGTGAGTTGTGCTTTTAATACGATCACTACATTACTGATCGTTGCATAACCAACTTACATTATATTTGGTGTGGGATCATGAAACTAGTTTCATTTGATTTCTTTATATTCTATTTAAAACCTCTCTTTCTAGTATTTCATTCAATATCTAATTCTTTCTGTGTTTTTTTTAATTATTGTCGATTTCATGTTATCTTTTTTCTGAAATAATTTCCTCCTTTTTCCATATTATTCTTCTTTGTTTTTTTCCCCGCTTCTCTTATTTTATAATTTCTTTTCCTTCTCTTTATCTTCAACTCTTTTTCTTAATACTTTTCTCTCTATTTCTACCGATTCCACGCCTTGTCTTTAATTCTTATTCTCCCACACTAAACGCAAATCTTTCGCATCCATCCTCCCACTTCACTTACCTTGCAACATCGTTTCTTTACACTTTTCTCTTCCATTTTTTCTTTTTCTGTTTCTTCTCCTATTCTTGTCTTATACATTTTACAACGTTATTTTTTCCCGCTCATTTTTTTTCAATTTTCTCAGCGTGCTTATCACTCCTCCTCTTCCTCCTCTTCACCCCTTCTATTATATATCTAACCCCCACTGTCATTCACTTTTCTCTGCTGTCTCCATGATCCTAACTAATTCGCTTCAGTGTCCTTCTTGTAAGAATCACAGTTCACTCCTCCCTACCCAACAAGAAATTATAACGTACATCTTTGAACGCATATTTCATCATGCCTTTTTTTTTTTACTAATTCATATCCAACTATTTGCTTTTGTATTTTAATTATAATTTCTGAGTAATGATTCCAATTCCGAAAAGCTTCATTATCATTACGTTCTTGTGGGCAGGACATGGCTGTCAGTATTTCCAGTTCGGATTCAAGTGAAGCAAAATTTACTTATTCATATACGCCCAATGACAGAAATTCTGGATTTATTTAGATCTGATAATTCGTTGTTTTCTTGATAATCTTTTCTTTTTCCTTTTTTTTAACTTATTAACTCTATAACGATATCATTTGACCTTTTAATCTGTGTAAATGACATTAACAATTTGGTTTGTACGCGATGTTTTTCATCAATGGATTGAAAAAGCCGTTCAATGAGGAAATTTTGAGGAAAATGGAAGCAAAAAGAGGCTTAGAATAAAAAAAAAGGCAGTTCAATATTTTGGGACACATATTGAGGACAGAAGGCTTGGAGGTTTTGATACTCACAGGACCTACTGAAGGCAAGAGGAGCAGAAGAAAACAGTCTGTAACCTACCCAATCGATGCCGTTCACACGCGCACACGCAAGCACACACACACACACACACACACACACATATACACTCACATATACACACACATCAGTAAAACATTATTGAGAAGGTACTTATTGTATTGCTTTGTATGCGTTGTATGTCGCTGTGTGCAATATTTTCGCATGTAGAAATTCAATAACGCGCTGCTGTTTGATATGCACTTTCACGTCAGATTTTATTTTGTCAAGAAATATTTTTAAAAAAGAAAATTTACGTAAAGGTTCAGCTTCTGCTATAATCTCCAAACATGAGGACCTTACCTGGGGACCGTCAATTGTTATCTCTTCTCCTTATCTTCGTAATCTTAATTTCTTACCACCTTTTCTTTCATTTATATTACATCCTTTCTTTATCATTACTATGTTAACAGTAACCTTTTATCTTGAGTGACTCACGAGCCTTTTATTGGGTGAATCTTAGTATATAAGACAGCTACAATTTTATGTAGGGTTAGACCAATCAGCTGAACTTTTCTGACTAAATCTCTTATGTAACTAATTAAGTCTTTAATAATAATATTATCTTGAAAATGTTTTAAGATTTTCCTAGCGGTACAAATTTTTATTATTACTAAAATAGACTGTTATACTTAATGGAAAAATCGAAAGGAAAAATAGCTACTGTTTAATGTACATCGAAAAATAGGAATAAAACTAACAGCTGACCGGTTTTCGTTCCTCTCTCTTCAAATCTCGATCGAGGAAATTAAAACAAATGAAATACTACGACTAAATTGAGAGTAATCTTATAAAAGAGGATATATATCTATATAAAACAGAAGACGTGCGTCTGTGTGTCTGTGTGATAACTTTTCACTTGAGATCCATCCAATCGATTTTGACCAAACTTGGTAGATACATAGTACAATGTAAGGGATAGGTTCTTAGTGCAAAAAATCGATAATTTTTAAAAATCAATAATAGATAAATCAGATCAAAAATCGATAAATTCAACTTTTTTCTTCCGATTTCGTTCAAACTCAGTATGTAGGTTACTTACATCATGACGAGCTCAAGGATACCTCATTTTTATTTCTACGACACTACGTTTAGCGAAAAACCACGAAAAACGAAAAATTGATTTCAACACAAATTGATGTCAACAAAAATCGATATCAACACAAATCTTAAACTAAAAACTTCCTCAATTTTTAAGCAATATAATATAAAATTCATCCAATTGTAGTCAACACTAAGTTGAGTGTTTAACAGTCATTTAACTTGATATTTTAGTTCATCCATATAGTGAAAAATCGCGTGAATAACGAAAAATTTTACTGGTTTCTTTTTTTATTTTTCGTTGATCTTTCAATCAATTTTCATCAAACTTAACAATTACTTTATAAATGTGTCTTCTTTTACATCCCTGGTATCACACTGACAAATTGAATTTCAAAAACTCCAAAATAATTGTGGTCTGAAGTGGGTTTTCATGTTGCCTGTTTTACCCCTTCATGTCCTCGGCTAACTTCGATTGAATAAATACAGACTTCTCTTATATCAGTAACTGCATTAATTCAAAATGATTTTTAATGAAAGTACTTCAAAGTAATTGAAGAAGATAGACTCCGCTACATCTAAACATGATGCTGTTTTTGCTCTATTTTAATTGAACGCTTTTTCTGATCGACCAGCTAGGTATGACTGCTAGCACACATATATTATTAATAATAATATTGTGTGTGTATGTGTCAAAATTTCAGATATAAGTAAGATATATCTGTATCTTTCGTTTATTAAACATTAACTTACATCACTTAGCATCCTTCATAATTTAACGAGACTTTCAGTTAACCTGATATACATTTATGAACGTTTCTTAAATGTAACATTTTTTTTGACAAACTAACATTTTTACTTTTGTTTATAAATCCTTGTAAAATGAAATCCATGCATTTGCTTTGATAAAGGGCATCAAAGGCTGAAACGCGTCGGTTAAGATAAGTTTCCCTTTTGTCTTTGTTCATTTATACCATGAACAGATTATATAAAGACTTATTAGCCATTCCTTTTGTTTACATAAAAGTTGTAGAGATTTAATAAATATGGTCTCTGAAAGTTTGAAATCAAAATTCAAATGTGAGCAGTTGAAAACAGAGAAAATATTCTCATGTTAGTACATGGCCCATTGACGATTATTTATATATAAAAATAAATCAACTCAAATATACTCAGAACGATCAAATTCCAATTCATTTTATGAGTACTTTATTAACTTGAGATTTTAGTCTTCTTAATTTGTGTGTAAAAGACACGTTTATGACTTAAAATGAGCGTGAACATTTTGGGACATACAGAGATGATTCACTATTATCGTCGGATTTTAGTATACGCGAGGGATTTTGGAACTTGTCTACTACAGATAAGAAGATCCTCCTCTATGTAGCGAGTGTAACAGCAAAATTGTTCATTTATTAGATTAATATTTTAAGCGTTGTATCTTAGAAATGATTAAAGATTTATTACTGGAATTCTCCGAGGTTTTTATAACGTTATTAGATTCTACATTGAGCAATAAGAATGTATAATTACTCTTTAAGCTTAACAGAATAATCGTGACAAAATCGATCATAAACAAAAATGACATGTTCATTATTAAATAATCATAGTTAAGGATCAGAAGCTCATGAAGGATTGAAACTAAGTTCATATATATATATATATATATATATATATATATATATATATATATATATATATATATTCCAGGGTCATTTTACAACTTATTCAAGATGATCTTTCCCCTCTCTAACAATCTGTCCTCTAGTGACAACGTGTCTTAAAGGTTTCATGTATGATTTCATTTTCAAGAATTTTTCATTGCTATTTGAACTGCCATAGTTGAAACTCCTTTTTCACCTGCCAAATGTCTTATAGATTGAGTTGGATCTTTTTTAATTGATCTCTTTAGCTCAAGGTTGAAATGATGACCCCTTTTCCTGTTGTGACCACTTGATCCAGTTTTCCTCTGTACCATTCACTCTTTTTTTTTAAACTTATTCACAGTTCCCTTTATGGTTCTTGAAAGATGGAAGCCAGAGTATGAATGTTGGTACCATTAATGAAAGTCTGAATAATCTCTTCCCTCTCACCATTGCTCATTTGGAAAGAGAGTGAGGCTGAAACAAAACAATTTTAAGCTGTTCTCTTTCTAGCTGAATAACTGAAAGGTTTTTTTCCGAGTTTCTTACGGTAAATGGTATCAAGATGGCTAAATGTCTTATCTGAAAACGTGGAAAAAAACGGAGTGTAGTGGTTTTTAGATATTCAACATTTTTGGGAGATGGACAATTATGCTGTTACATGATTTGGACAATTTTGCTGTTCCATCTGGTATATATATATATATATATATATATATATATATATATATATATATATATATATATATATATATATTTGTGTGTGTGTGTGTGTGTGTGTGTGTGTAAATATTCTCAGATAGAGTGTATCCGTAAACGTGACAAAATTAATATAAAGAGACAAGAGGAAAAAACTACTTTCAGTCAACGCGTTTCGTCCTCTAAGGGACTTTATCAAGGCAATGTTTTTTCATAAAAAAACTGAATATTTCACGGTCAGTTTACTTTTGACAGACTTTGAATTATGACACCTTGTGTCCTCGACATGCTTTGACTGACCTTTCAACAACCTGATAAATATTCATGAACGTTCTCAAATCAAAAAGGTTTGATAGACCAATGATATCCTCACCTTTGTATATAAACACGTTCAGCAAAATATATACTACATTGCCTTGGTACAGTCCCTCAGGGAACGGAATGCGTCGGTTTAGAATAGTTTTTTCTTTTGTCACTTTTTATTCATATATATATATATATATATATATATATATATATATATATATATATAT